CGCTACAATCCAAAAGACAATATTCTCCTCCAACATTGTTGAGTCCATAATTTCAGTCTTCCACAGATGTTATTACTATGAAATTTCATGAGGTCATGCTTTTCCATTTTCACTGACCCCATAGCCTCAAAATAACTAATCTACCTTAAGCAGTAATTTATCCGTCCTTAGAGATACAGAGTCTGCGTTTAATTTTCTGAATTTCTTGGACCAGTATCGTGGCTGATACAGTCACGCTTCAGTTAAGCTATCCAGTCTTCACTGTTACATACAAAAAAGAGAAGAATGTTTAGTTATTTGTATTTCAAAATGGATAATACCATTCTTCTTTTTTAACAAACAATATCGATATCTTGACATATGGCGGATCCACCAGTTTTTTAATTCTGTTCTTGACATGAACTGAGGAGACACACATGCATATGGTGGGAGGGAAAAGTTCCCGGAGAAACGTCACTTGAAACCCCGAGAAAGAACAGAATACGATTAAGATGATATCTTGAGGGAACAGGTTGTGAGAATAAAAGGTGGACTGAACTGGCTCAGGATGGTGTTGATTATCGGGCTTTAGTATTAGAAATATTAAATCTTTATGAACTTCAACCAGTCACTTCTAAAATTAAAGATTTCTATTATAAACAATTTTCTATGTCTGTATTAGTCTCTACATGCATCAGTTTTACTAATTAAAACAATAAATATGTCAATATACAAATTACATTTTAATAACAAATGATACGTTGCATTTATCATTACCTGCTAAGAAGTAATGACGGGAGAATAGGGTAGTCAGGGAAAGATTTTTGGTAAGAGGAGAGAAGCAGAATGAGATCCAGAATGATGTGCCAAGGGGGTACAAGGAAGAGGAGTGGGATGCAAGACTGAAAGACATCATTTCTGGTCTACTGTCCTGTCCTGTCCTGATGGTGGTAGTTACATGTGTCTGTCTCACTTAAAAACACTCAAGCAAACGACTGGCGCAAAATAAAGTGTAATGTTGGGATCAACCAAAAATGTTTGTTTATTTATGAACTTTTAACATTTTAAATGCAGTAACACTAGATATATTATATTTCCGTGTTTGTTTCTGCTGGAAGATACATGTCATTCACAGTAAGAAACACCAAAACAAGAGAACATATCACAGCTCTATACAAGTATTTTGACCAAAGTTCATGAAGTTCTGTGTCACAGTGAATAACATGTTACACCGCATATCCCAATATTTCATACTCTCAAAGGTATGGCTGCCAGCCATGAAAGAGGCGGCTCAAATTCCCTGGGTCGCGGGCTTGCTGTAATAATCGATTCACTTGTCCACCAACGCTAGTTGCTGTCCCCTCTTCTGTTCCTTGCAGCTTCTGTCGCAACCTTACTAACGCTCGCTCTGCCATTCTATTCACTTCACCCGCAGTGGCTATGTAAAAATAATCATTTACATTCATTCTCTGTATCAGTCAGTGCACTACTTACCCTCCTTGGAAATGGCAACTGTAATCTTTGCCAAAACACTGGTTAACACAAAACACTTGAGATGGCTCTCATACTGGGATACTGGGAACGACCCGTTCTTCAAGTGCCTGAGCACTGCGGGTCGTTGGCTTGATCTATAGACATTCGGTAGGACTCCTTGGACGAGGGATCGGCCCGTCGCAAGGCCTACCCGTACACAGGACAGCACAACACAGAAAAACGTGGACAAACATCCATGGCTTGAGTGGGATTCGAACCCACGGTCCCAGCGACCGAGCGGCACAAGGCCCACGCCTCAGACCGCGCGGCCACTGCGGACCCCGATGGCTCTCACAGGAAAGCCAAAGTTATACATTGTACATAAAAGGGCCCTAACAGAAGTTGTCATGACAACAGAAAGAGTGAGGGGGAAATAATATTCACATAAACTATATGACATGCAGAAAAGTGATGGGAACTTGTCTACAAAGTTAACAAGCAAATGCACAGTCATATGTCAGAATGTATTTACTACTATTGGAAACATTTCTGATGACTTTTTACCTTCAGGTTCACAATAATCAGTATCTGCTTTATGTGTCCGCTCCTGGATGTTATAACCTTTGCTTGGAGATATTGTCCAAGCATACAGAGGATCATACAGAAGAACTTCCAAGATGGTCAGAATGGTTTCCTGGTTTTGTCTTAGGACAGACATTGTTTTCTCGCAACACCTAATGGAAAGGGAAATTCCATACACAGAGCCTACATATATGAAGTCAATTAAGATTTAAATAATAGTGATACATAATTATTTCAAATAAATTCCTACATCCCATGAGAGAAAGCTACAGTGTTTTGTACTCTTACCCACATAAAATTACAATAATAATTTAGATACAGATGTTCAATCAAGTACTAAGTAAGATTTGAGGTTTTCACAACGATGAGTATGAAGATTTCTGTCTTTTGGGTTGTTGCGCTGTGTAGTCTGGTCGATGTTAACCAACGTTTCAGAGGTCATACTGCCTCCTATTCATCAGGGCGATGATATGACCTCTGAAACGTTGGTTAACATCGACCAGACTACACAGCGCAACAACCCAGAAGACAGAAATCTTCAAGTACTAAGTAATTTAGTTAAACACAAAATCTTCACACATTTGTATGGTTTGAATCTGAACAAAGGACATTTTACAAAAATAACACAATAAATATCTTATCAATGTTAAATTTATGTTAATTCACAACACTGTGCCTTCTTAAATTATGGTAAGGAAATTATAAACACACACATTTATTTTCTGTCACCAGAAAATATTATTAGCGTTATTTATCTAACTACAATGTTTGATTATTGAGATATATTTTGCAAACAAAGATCAAAAATTAACATAAATTTGTCCTTCTCCTTCCACGTTATGAAACTGTGACTAGGAGATCACAGCTTCCTGAAGTTACAAAAATATGTATGGCCACTTCAGAAAAGGAAACACGCTGCAAAAAATGTCACCTTTATAAGTTATGGTACAAATAAAGTAAGCTGGAAAACAGGGAAATCAGTGTAAAAGTAAAGTAAAGTTGTCCCATTATACATCATGCAGGCGCTTGGAGGGAGTGGAGGTATAGCTCCTCTCTTGACCTTGGCACTAGATGGGGTTGAGTGGTCAGCATCACGCCCCGGCCGTGCTTTACCCCCGGGAAAGGACCCCGTTACCCACTGGATAGGAGGCAGGGTGGGCCCCAGAGCCGGTTTGGATGTAGAAGCTAGAGGAAAAATCCTCTGCCCTCATCAAGGATCGAACCTGGTCGCCCAGTCTGTAGCCAGTCACTATACTGACTGAGCTATCCCTGTAAATTGCAGGGACTAGACTATGTCTGAAATTGGTCATTTGTCTCTGTATCTGCAGACCCATAACAGTGGTATATAGATACCACACTTACAAACAGCATAAGAAATACCTACATTCCTACCATTAACTTATAAGGAAGGCAATTTATGTAAATTGTGTTTTGTAATATATTATTCAATTTTAAAATTGCACTCTTGACATATCACACCAGACTAAAAAAATGAGCCAAGAAACTGATGCTAATGTAGTAAATATTTAATGACAGAGACATGAGATACATTCGCAATAGTTAATAAAAACATGATGCAGTACTACAGTTTTGTATGGTTAATTATAATGTAAGACTGATAATTATTTATTCCTTTCTAATTTGTTTAATTTACATAGTATAAAAGTAGCAGGCTTTCTAACTGGGACTTCAACCACAAACTTAAGACATGTCTTACGATACAACAAGGGTTAGGGTGTAAAAGCAATGTTACAAATTTCAAACTTAGATACCAAGATATTTACATTTAAATTTTTTACATCAATATGCCTCAATTTTCATGCCTCTGAATTTCAGACATCAATACAGGCTTGATGATATTCTTTAAGAATACTTTACATTACAGGTGGATATAATCATCATGATAGGTATTACCTTCTGAAAACTCCTTCTATTCCAGACACACCCAAGCCATCTTCTACATCTCTTGTGAGTCTGAAGGGTACAGTTTCAGGAGTAGGCAGAATATGGCCTTGCTCAAAAGCAATTCCTATAAAGTTAAGAGAAGCATTGCATAGTAACAGCATCCAATGTCATCTTTATAATACTGGGATACTGGGAACGACCCATTCTTCAAACGCATGAGCACTGCAGGTCCCAACTTTTCGTTGGCTTGATCTATAGACATTCGGTAGGACTCCTTGGACGAGGGCCCCCCCCATCTTTATAATTAACAAACTAATCCTGTTTTATTTGGAAATATTGCTGTGGTCTGGTAGCCTCCTTGCATATGAAATTTCCTACTCAAAATCTGTAAAGTAACTGGAATATAATGTCAACACAGCACAATTTAAAATGATCTGAAGATAATTCTTACATTTCAAAATTGCATTAGACATCTCACTGAATAGTTGTCTGTAAATCCATGAAAAATGTCACATTATTCCATCTTTTGCAACTTACCAAAATCAATATGAATCACTTCAGCTGTAGATTTGTCCACCAAAATATTCACAGTGTGTCTGTCACCTAGTCCCAAGATATAACCAATCATGGATGATGTTGCCACACTACAAGAAAAATAAAGTTGCTGGGATGCATTTAATATAATAATGAATAAATTTCTACAAAATTAAGTTGCTTATAGCAAACATGGGCATAATGAGATCTAATGAAGTAATAATTTAATGTAGTATCATAGAGTTCAGAGCAGACACCTGCAGAACTATTTTGCTCATATTATGCAAATGAAAAAGCGCAGAGTACGAAACACAGCATTACACATAGCATTCAGACTACTTAATGGGAGACTAACAACAAGAAGGTAATGGGTAAATACTCAGGAAACCAACTTAAGTTATAAGGCTGCATGAAGAAAGTAAAAATGGGTTCATGAAGTAATGACCACAGAAGTGGAAGAACCTATTCTTGAGACTGCACAATGTTGGCAGAAATACAGATCATGGAATGTGCCCTACATGTAATAAATAAGAAGGCTGGAGCCACATACTAGAAGGTGTGATGAAACTAGAAGTTGGAGAGATGAACTTGTAGATAAAAGATTCATAACTACTGACCCAGAAAATGGAATCAGGATACCTACAATTAAAGATAATTAAAATTGAAGAAAAGCTGAGCTATATTTAAACAGGTATAAAGAGAAATGGATAAGATCGATGATTAAATATGAGAAGGAATAAATCACAAACTGGAGGTAGCAGAGACATGAGATAACAGGATAGTTTAAATGGAAGTACAGAATGTAAAATGGTAAAACTAAAGTAAAGATATTTAGAGGTGGACATTGGACCAGTCTCATCAAACATTGTAAACTGTAACTAACAGGCTTAATAAATGACAATGCACTGATTTCCTTACCTGTGAATATAGGCAAGTCTTCGCTCAAACCAAACTCCAGGTGTTGGGAAATTCTCCAAGAAGAAGTAATGGAAGACTGGATTAAATGACTTGCAGATATTAATGTAAGTTTGAAGTTTCCTTTCATTTGAGCTTTGTGCCACATCCTATCAATATTAAAGTCAATATGTTAATTGTTTATAGTTTTTCTTACTGAAAATATATTAGTGGAAACCTCTAGTATAGCACCCATCTTTAAGCTACACTCACTCACCACAAATGGATTACAACTGAACCACATTCAAAGGATGTCACTGTCTGGCTCTTACCTACAGAATGACCAGGTTTCAGCAGTGATACAACAAAATATTCGAATACCGCGTTTAGTTTTTTTAATTCCCCTTGTACATACCATCATGGCCTTCCTGCAGGCCTGAGGCGTGAGGTTTTGAGGATAATATCTGCGATGAGCACCATTAGGCCCTATCAGGTATGTGGCCATTGGCTCAGTATTCTGACACCATTCCAGAACTCCACTTCGCTGTGACAGAGGCACCACCTGTAACAGTTCGTCACTTCCTTTATTACAAAACATCCAAAAAGAAAATGATAAAAATCTATTACACAATATACATAGCTAAATTAAAAACTTTTGAGACAAAGGTATTCTAATAATGATATCCTTACTCTAGCAATTAAATTTCTTTAATGTATTCATTCCTTTCCATTAACCCCTATAAAACAAACACAAGGCTAGAAGAAAATCAACGTTCAATTTAATGATATTTAAATCACAATATACCTACAAGTCTGAAAGGCCAGCATTAGTTAGAAAGGACTCTAAAAGATAAAAAAGAAATATCATGCAGTAATAAAGTGCATTATCACTCAATTTCACTGGAATTTACTTACTTTGTAAGTTCTGATAAGGAGCTTTCTTTTCTGTGTTTCCTTATTGTTCTTCAGAAGTGTGTTTAATATACTAAACACTTGCTGCATCACAGCATCTTGACGAAGATCATCTTTTCCCTGAAATCAGAATGCATGTTATAAAACTGTGACTTCTATCAGAAAATATTATTCATCTCTCAACTATTTAGAAACGAATTTATAAACATAAATTTTTGAATAAAAATTTCAATGTCATGTATTAAAATATTTTAAACTTCCCTTCAAATCACAATGCCTTCTGAAGAGACATTACATGTTGGGCATTTAAATGTATCAACTTTGAATGAATACCATTCTTATTAAGAGAGATACAGCTCCGTTGTTTGCACATCCCCAGTCGAAGGAGCTAAGTTCTATTTTTTCCCATATGTAAAAACACATATTTTTCTTTTTTGTACAAGTAACAGTAAGTACAAACTCTACCTTAACCAGTTGTGGTCTTTCTATTCCATCTGTGCCAACACATCCTACTTTCTTTGGTGCATTCACTCCACCAACAAGAGAAAAGGTCTCAACATATCTGTGAATTCCTAGAAAAGAAAACAGATTTTATTTTATCTAGTGAAGAACAGTATATGGTGATAATTTATCAAAACTCAGATTGAACTGAGAAGTTAGATGGTTGTATAGATTTTCTCATAAAGTCTTGCATGTGGAAATGTGAATTTCAAAGTGGGTTTTACTTAATAAGAGTAGTTTATTTTATTGTAGGGTGTTCTACAGGTTATGTCATAATAGTTTTGACTCTTCTGTTGCACATGTATACCATAAGCAGAGCTAATACCTACTATGGAAATTTTCTGCAGGATGCATAGAAATGTGACTGACACTAACATAGGTCAAAAAGATAACAAAATAAGTGGACTAAATCTGAAGCATTGTGACAATGATGTCAAAACAACATATTCTCTGAAAATTATCCATCATCTTTATTTTCTGTTCCAGTGACTGGAATCTGTTTCCGTCTGTTGGGACCAAATGATAGAGCTAGTTAGCCCTACCTCAAAAACGTTTGATTCTTTAACAAAAAACAAGACAATGGATCATGTCCAGACAGTTAGTTGTTTTAAAATAAGGGGAAAGGGTAATCAGGTAAAGTGAACAAAGTCAACACCTCTAAAACTAGTGATTCAGTGAAGTACATTTAGCAGAGTAAATTCCTGCATATAATTTCCAAGGATACATTAAACTTACCAATAATGTCATCATACTGGCAATTATTTTTTACTGGTATTGTCAGAGTAGGCACAAGCACCAGGTCATTGTCTTCTAACTGCTTCAGGAGGGTCCTCTCAATAGGATATGCTAAAATTAATACAATTTATGTAACAAAATTGAAATAATATGAATAGACACATCTTGACAAATTTTTAAAAACTGGCAAACTTACATTATAGGTTGTGGCGTCTCACAGTAGAAACATGAGTAAATCCCAGGCCAATCAATGTGATATTTTTAATTAACTCAGTTTTTCTCCTAACACTTTGACATACTGTACATATTAACATATTTACAAAATAATGAAAACCTACCCAGCCAATTAGGACTGGCACATTCTTGTAACTGTAATTAAGAATATCAGCCTACTTCATCCTACAACATGATGCAGGTATCTGTAGAGAAGTCCTCATAATTTAACAGATTAAACTCTTCAGTAACTTACATTTACTTTTGCCTTCTACTTCACAATATGCCAGCTTAATAAGTGCTGTTGCCACACCCTCCATCTGTGTCAGAATGGCCCTGACTTCATCACATGCATTTAAGCACTGCACTATGTTTCGAGCACCTAGCACTCGAGGCTAACAAAACAAATACAGCACAAGGTAAAAAGAAAAAGTCTATACAGGCTGCTATGAATGTGAAAAGAAACCTTTAAAGGTAATCTACTGGTTTCCAAACTTTATCACAATAAATCTCCTTCAATATGTAAAGTCCACCTAAGGAAAAACAAGTTTTTGAGTATCTTTCTTCTCATACATCCAATTAATTTGGTCCATCTCCAAGTACCGCAACATTGACCTCATTGACCTCTGAAATGTCAGTAAACTTCTACCAGACTACATGGCACAACCCAGAAGACAACCATCTTCAAACTCACCACTGTGAAATCCTGCAACTTACAAATCAAACTGCATATGAAATATACCTAAAAAAATGGGTAATGTGCAATATAATACTGGTATAATGAATCAACTTAATTGCTGTCATAAACATTTAGAGAATCATTAAGTGTGCTTTGAAAATTTCTGTTATGTCTGTGCAAATACAGTCATCAGTTTGGGATCTGACATACCTCTGACTTCCTTTCATTCTGTCTGCCACCAGTAAAATCTTGATCTCTGTATGAGTTGGCTAATGCAAGGATTATAGGTAGTGTATGGTGGGGATGCTCGATAGCACAGCGTTCTGTGTAATGAAAAAGAGACTGTCAGTTTCTTCAGAGTTACTGCCTTATAGCTATTAATACACAAACACAAAACTTAAGACTTAAATTCATCAGACTGATCAACAAAAGAAAAAATACAATAACTATGTGGAATACAGAGTGACATTCATAGTCACCTATCACTAACTGCTATGCATACATCATCAACTACTACAAGGGTTGGGCCATTGACCCGTCTTAAAGAGTGCATTTTTTAAGTAGTGAGTGACAAGCCCACTGCCTCTGCACAATTTCTACTCAATCCTGATTTGTCTGCTAAAGCCACCAAGAAGAGAATCAGAACCTCATACAGGATTATTTCTTACATGATCTCAGAAAACTTACGTAACAATGCACTTAATTCGCTGACAAATGGGTCCGACATGCTGTTACTTATCCGGGGTGCTAACTGTGGTAAGACAGGCAAAAACTTGTAGCTTGGAATGCGATGTAAATGTTGCCTCAGCACCTTACAGACCTCTTCATGTGTAGTGTTCTCTAGCCAGAGAGAAGTCAAGCGAAAAACCTGCAAGCTATGCTGGACCCCATGTTCAAGGCTCAAGAGGTAATACCTAAACGCAAGAAATAGCTTTATGTCCTAAAATGAGTTTTTACAAGAATCTTTATTTTATGTGAAATCTTTATAATAGTTTGAACTGTACTTGTATATATGTATTGTATTATTATGACTTATTCCACTTCACATTGTCATGTGACTAATTTATGGAACCATGGAATGTAATAAATATTTCACTGTAAATTAAAAAGAGCCTCCAACGCAGACAGACCTACTCACTTCAAGGCATCTATCAGGTATACATTTTTTTCCTTCTCCCTGTTCTTCATCTCTGCCTCATCAATTTTGCTCATTTTCTGGCACATGTGTATCTTCCTATTCTCATCCTTTGTCTTATTCTTCTGTTGTTGTAGTTTCTCTGCCTCCTCCCTGGCTTTAGTCATGAACTGCTGTTTTGATTCAAATGCAGATGAATTCAGTATTCCCATGAGTTGCTGATACTCTGCATCCACAAACCGTGCCAGTGAAGAGTATGTCTCCAAATGGCTCTCCTCACTGTACTTCACTCCATCTAGGACGTGCAGGGCTTTCTTGAAGTAACGATCAACAATCATCTACACGTGGAACAGAAGACAGTCCATTTATACCTAAACTTTAATAGTGAAAAATATGTTTAAATCAAAAATATTCTAACATTATAATTTTCAGAAAGGTTATTCTTTGAAATATATTTCCAACTCACAGTCTTTTATTCTCATGTTTGCAAACAATTTTCTAATAAAATTGTAAATATGTCTATCTTTTGGGTTGTAGTGCCATGTAGTCTGGTTGAAGTTTACTGACATTTCAAGGTCCTTGCTCCCTCCATCATCAGGGCAATGATAGAGGCAGCAAGGACCTCTGAAATGTCGGAAAACTTCTACGAGACTTCACAGCGCAACAACCCAAAAGACAGCCATCTAAATGTGAAACCTCACTTAATATAACATTGTTTAATCCTATGTCAACTTCTTAATTCAACTAACATTCCACCCCCTTCTCCTTCAATAATAAAGGCATGCTTGGTTAACAGTATAATTTCTTGTTGTTAAAATAACACTCTATTTACAGAAATGCAAATTCCTCAGTTATAATTTCACTTGCTTGGATATAAAATGATTCTCATTAATGGTGTTAAACTTGTACGGTCTTAATGAGAACACAAAAGACAATTTTCATGTACCATTATTTAAAATCATGTCAGCATGGACACCTATATTTCACTTCACAAAATTTAAGTATATGTCAGTATGACTTCAATGTCAAAGTGAAATATCAAACTTTACCTGAGAGTTTTCAGATCTGGTTTCAACCATCCAGTTGCCATACAGTGTAAGAGCAGAGGAATAAAGTAATTTATCCTCATCAGTTCCATCACCAATCAAAGACAGTTCACCAAGGAGTGAACGAAGGATACACCTCCCAACTTCATGATCACCTTTCCCCCATGATAACTGTGCTTGCTCTAGCTTCAACTGTCCCTGAGCAACTGATGACAATCTTCCAACTTGTGACAACATACAAAGACAACGATATCCTACGTGATGCCAGCCCTCAGTCCGTGCCAGTTTAGCTGTGCTAAGTTGAATATCTGCTAAGTATACAGCTAACTGCTGTTTCATTTCATCATTCCTCTCTACCAGCACTGCATTATGTAACAACACTGCCCGCTGTGCAAGGATTGGTTCTATGTATTGAAATTCACTGAGATTAAGCTGCCCCTGCTTATTCCACTTATCCAGAACTGTTTCTACATTATCAACCTCTCCCGACTTCCAAGCCGACACAAAGTCTTCTATCTCCTGCAATGTTTGAAGCTGTGACAGGGCATGATAGAGATTTTTGCTACATTCCAAGCTTGCATGTGCTAAAGAATCTATAACATACTTTCTCGCTGCTGCCACCGCTCTTTCAACACTTGTAAAATCTAAATCACGCATTGCTTTCAGTGACATGTAGTGATGTTTCTCATACTCTCCTTTTGCTATCAGTGACTCCAGGCCACTAGCAACATCTGTTTCACTACCACATAATTTTTTACTGTTCTCTGTGGATAACAGATTCCACTGACCAAGTCTCCATCCACATTCATATTGGTAATCCTCATATTCAGAATGAATCCCACCAGTCAGATAAGAATTTTGAATATGATACAGACCAAGCCTCTTCAATGCATACAGCATACCTAAAAGAAAAAGATGTATGGTAATGTAGTACATATTGTCACCTCTAATGCTATACACATCATGTTTCACTTTGATACATATGAAAAGGAATTTCCTTTCAATCCACCACTTTAAAAAGAAAGATTAACTGAATACACCACACTTCAAATGCAAGAACAAACACACCTCCTGTTGCATCTTCATTCCCACTGGACAGCAAAAAGTCATATGAGAGAAGCACATTTTGCCAATTACCAGTTAGCTCATAGTGACTAATACGTGATTGAGGATCCAATATATGTGAAGAGCCACACCCATATACAGCATCATCATCACCAATCTTCTTGTAAGCCTTTATATAAAACATCATAAATCACAATTTAATTAACATTTATGGTACAGGTATGGGGAATTTAAACCCCATACTACGGGGCTGACAGCCAGAATTTAACTCAAGGTTAACGGTTTACTATTATGTTAGTATAATGCATGGTCTGTTAGGGTGTTTGTAAGCCATGGTACACACCCAATAAAGGTTAGTAAACAGTCCACACAACAAAAAAGCAACATCTCCTAGGATGGCACATATGGAGAAAGTGTACTGCAATAAAAGTTGTACACATAACAAAATACAATAAGGAACACTATTAGTATTGTGCAGTAACATCTTACAGTGTTTGCAGCTACCAGTTAATGAACTGTTGTAAAAATTTCGACAAGGGAACCACAGGTAAAATCTATGATTATGAAGATGACTCTGTCTTCTCAGTTGTTGTACCATGTAGTCTGGTAGAAGTTTACTAATGTTTTATCGATGCTTACTGCCTCTTACACATCGGTACTCTTCTACTAGAGTATACTGCACAACAACCCAGAAGATAGCCATATTGAAGGATAACACAGTTTACACTAAAAAATATAGTACATGTAACGATTTATTTTACCTCTTTCAGTATATTTTGAAGTGTCTCTCCATTTTGTGCACTTCTGTCACAGATGTACTCTAGTGATGAGAGAGACTGGCCACCAGCACAATCAATGTCCATGCTTTCCCTGAAACACACCATAACACAATTCAATCAGTTGTCTCAAAACAGAGTAAAATCTGACATTTTGAAAACTGTCAGATCTTTATTCTGTATCAATCCAACTGATGGCCTATTGCACTTTGTCACCACTAAATACATATATTAAATATGAACAAACATGCAGCACAAATATAACCTGAATATTGTAGATGTTTACTAGAGGATCTTTTGCAACACCTAAACACAAGCATTGATATAACTGCAAACCAGTTAACACTATCAATATCAGGGTTGAGAATTTTTCCTGGGGAAGTCAAAATTTCATACTCACAATTAAAATGTTAACTGCACATGACAAGACTCAACAATACAACTTTTCCCATGAGTTTATAAAATTTGGTTTTTAACATGTCCTATATAAATTATAATTGTAAATATACAATACAGGAGATTATGATATCTCTCGAAATTTAACACATCAAATTCAAATCCTACAATATTTATAATGTAAATAAGTATGTTTAGATGAGCTAGTAGTAACAATATTTGTAGATAATTATTTGTAATGTGCATGGCACTGGTGCTTAGACAGCCCACTGCTGATTTCATGGTTAGTGAATCAATGCTGAAAGAAAATAAATTCTGCAGTAGATGGCTGACTGTGGGGGGAGAAAGAAAACCCCCTCCCCCCATAAATTAAATATAAACTGAATAGGTTTTAAAAACAAATCTTCATTAATATTATGAATCATAAGTTTGATGAAAATGCAGTTCACTTACTTTAGAATAAACTTCTCTTCCATCCAGTACACTTGTTTGTCCATCATTTCATTAATGCCTGCGTGAAAATTAATTCTGTTATAACTTCTACCTTCTTCAAAGACAATAATAAATAAGAACATACCTGCTGTCATCACACCACAGTTCAGCATACAAGATTGATGTAAAGTATGCAGAACAAAACTGAGCAGCCTGGGCAACATGTAGATAATTCAATTCCAAACATTGAGAATTTGTGCCTTCCTTCCTGTAAAATTACAATTATCAGCAACTGTAATGAGGAAACAATTTTTCCTTCTTCTGCAACGGTTACTATTGCTGTAAATATTAAATGAGATGTGGAGGAAAAACACCAGAACTTTACTTTTAAGGTATGACAGAAACATGTCCTGCACATCCAGCTTGAACACTCTCTTCTTCTTATTTTACAGGGGGAATTCCTCAGATGCTTAGGAGAGGATTACGTACGCCTAACAAACTAAAGCATGGTATACTAGTGAAAACAGTGTGCTACCAGAAGAATAATAGTTATTATGCCAGGTAATTAGTATGTTTAGCATAGTGATAGCTTCAATTTGCGGACATCACAAAATATAATCTGCTCATTATGCACACATTCACAACAAAGGTCACCGTATTTACTTCTACTCTTTCGATACTTTTCCCAAGAGACTGCTGATGAATCATTATTTGCATAGACACTTTTGTACAAACTATCACCCTACTCATATCTGGCAGAGAAATTGAATGTTGAGCCTTTACCAGCTGTGTAATGGTTCATGTGGTCTACCTGCCATGTGTCACTATAGCATAATGTAGTGGCTATAAATTGTGAGTTTGCACATATGCAAAGCACATTTAAGATTGTAGTATCAAACTGTCCTGTATCTTACCTTTCTTTGGGCTTCAAACATTTCTGAAGTCGTGCAAAATGTACAACATTTAGCATACACTGTACAGATGCTCTATTGAAACACACCTGCTCCTTACAATCTAAAAACAACAAACAATAATGTCAACTAACATTACGTGTTAACAACATTTGCATATGCAGAATATTCTTTACTGAGTTTTTACTGGAGTTTGTATACATGTTACAGCAGTGAGAACATCATAACATAAGCTTCCATTACACAGAAAACATCAGACAAAACATAAACATAAAATTAATTATTATTCATATAGTGAATTTCCGTAGGAAAAACAAAATACAGAGTAAAATAGGTTTTGCTAAGAGCTTTAAGTGCACTTCTAATCAGCTGAAAATTACGCAGTTATATTTAATGCCTTCTTGAAGGGACAGGCTTCCACATGTGTTCAATAAGAATACTGAAAACCTTATGCAAATGTTTTGAAGATCACTTTGTACCCAAGAATATAAAGCCTGCCTATACAAACATTCTGGAAGTGTTTTTTTAATTGCAAACTTATTTCAGAAAAATGATGATTTAAAGCAATGCAGTAATTATTTCTCCTCAATGGCACTGTAAATCCCACATGCAAAAAGCTTTATTGGGGGAAAGACCTAAATGCTTGGAACATAATATTAACCAGTCAATTAAATAAATGATAGAGTATTATTGGCATAGAGCAGTGCAATAACTCATGATGTAATTTGGAGCTTGGGTTAATAATGTGGTGAGAAAATGCATGCATACAGTAATTAATTTTCACTGCATTTTACATGCTAAATTCCAAAGATTTGGTTTCTTGCAATTTATATTAGCACCCTACAAGAATGCTGCCTTTTTCATGCAGAAATAAGCATAGTATTGTCTTACACAAAAACACAAGTACTGAAAACTCACGTCTGAGAACTGGCAATGGAGAAGTGCTATGTCCTTTGTCCAGTTGGACACAGGCCTCAAAGTGACTCCTGAAGAAGTAGCAAATGGATCTATTCATGATGATGTTACAGACTTCACTGCCTGTGCTTAGAACAAGATACACTAATAATGGCAGTATTTGCTCTGCAAATGATACCTGCAATGAAAAGTACACCAACTTCAAAACAGTTTGATTATATTGCAACATTACTCACATACTGTAAAGTTTTATGTAATGTTTTCTTATTACTAGGAGTATAAAAATCCACCTCAATCTACTCCTACCTCAAAAGAATATTCCAACACCTTGCAAGGTTGGAAGAGATCTTGGGAATTGATGAGACCACAAATGTTAGTTATCAAGAGGTCCAGGGTTCAAATGCATGACAAAAAACAAAAATGTAAAAACAGATGTCAGTATGACAACCAATCACCTGAAGAAGGGAGCAGAGCCAGCTCGCAGAATGTCATGTATATCATACACACCACAAACAAAGGGCAATGGGCAACAATATTTGTATAATGAATCAACTATCACATACATTCAGATCAATGTAATTTCATGCTTTACCTTCCTGACTTTGTGATGTACAGGTAAGGTACACCCATAACAAATATGGATTTTTAACTGGCCACATCTGACATAGTTCTTTCCATGTGCCTTCCCTGATCCTTAACTCTGACAACATTTAGACTGCCAGGAACACCAAAAGCTATGGAGCTCACAAGATGAAAATTCCTAATGCCAACCACCATCTTCCCTGTCGCTTAATCAATCCTACTCTACAAGTAATTTCCAGACTCTTGCCTGGCAGACAGGGGCTACAAAGGCTAAAATATTGGACACATTCTAAAGAAAAGTGTTACCCCCCTTTATCAATTTGTTTGAGTGGTAGAGTTGTAAACATTTCTTTTTTTGAAAGCCACTCTTCTAGAATTGACTGGCATGCTTATTTGTGGCTTGCAGACAGACTGATTTGTAACATAATAGTACATCTCTGTATCATGCTTACCTTTGCACTGCAAACAGGAACTAACTGTGAGATAAAGCAATTTTCCTGTGGGAATGTTTTCAAGATAGTGCACACCAAAGAAGTGACCCATTTCTCATGGCTACATTCTTCCACAGGACACCACAGGCAATCTACATCTACTGTTTCATTGAATTTGTCCTCATTTACAGTCAGTGATGAATCATGTCTTGTATTTCTGTCTGCCTTGAATGGTATTATATACTGGTTATCAAATCCACTGGTACCTGCTAAAACCAAGTAGTCACAAACACATTTATCTTACACAAAAATCCATATGTTATTAAAGATGTGCTAGCAACACACTACGAGTGTTAACATAACAATATGAAATATGAAAATTCTTTATAATTTGAATCTGAAACAAGTACTATGAAACTTAAACTCAAAGTTAACTAACTTCTGATAGTAGAACCCAAGGATTCAATACCACTAAAATAAAAGTACACCATATGACATTGTGTTCATTTCCTTAAAACCTATCCTATGTGCCCAGCCCATTGTAACCTCTTAGACTTCATTGTCTTAACAATAACAGATGACCTATACAAAACACAGTTAATCAATATGCCCATTTACTTCATTCTTCCTAGGTCCAAGTATTTTCCTAAGCACTTCATTTTAAAATGCTTGGAATGTATGTCCTTTCCCCAGAGTAAGAGACCATATTTCACACCAATGAATATATATAAAAACTACATCTTTTGAGTTCTATATTTTCATTAAAACTCAGGTCCTTAGAAGAAATACTGGGAGTGGCTTTATTTTAAAATCTCCATCAATTAATTTCTTACATTCAACTCGCAAAGACATAAAATTTACCTATGACCTGTTGACCTTCTCGAGATGCAAGGATCTTATACAGAGCTGCACTAGCTGCTTCCACCACGATGATGTTCTCATCGACTAGAAAGTCCACCAGAACACTCAAAATGTGAGCTGTGAACATCAAAATGGAGCTGTTTCCAAACACATTCCCTTGTAATTCCTGGCTTTCTTCTGGCTTCAGTATCATGGTGGTCAGATTAGCAGGTCCAAGTTCACCCAAACATCTTGATGCTTCTTGCCTGATCTGAGAATTGGGCATTATTAAGCATGAATTCCATTTGTAACACCATCCTGATCACTATACAACTGTTACAAATGTCAGCAGCTACACTGTTTAATAAGCTAGTGTTCCCAGAATGACGATTTCAACTCTCAGTAAACTATAATGTCAGTGCGGTTTAATTATTGAAACTGGATAAAAAACCTAATTTATTGCTTTAACACTCCTGCAGTTCTCTGTTCAGTCACCAGAGAGGACCTCAAATCCTACAATGTCACATAGACTTGCCTCCATCTTCAGCTGTCTTAATGTGTCTGCTGCATAATATAGTACCACAACTTATGATTCATGTAAAGATAAAGAAACCAGAACTGTTATACTCACCCTTGAATCTGGTACAGATGTTAGTTCAACCAACATGCATATCAACTGATGAAGCAAACTCTTGGCACAATCCTCAGAGAATCCTCTCATATCATTCAGTTCCTTGTACAGCATATTCAACTCTTGCTTTTTTTCAGAGAGCTGTAAAAATTACATATATAGTAGTAGTGATTTTCAAAGTTCCTTAAGCAATGATGCAAAGAGGGAAAAACTGAGGAGGTAGTAAGATTGACAAAAAAAATTAATAATACCTGAGTCCTCAGATGCTTTAGGCCTTCAGCTCTACATCCAAGGTTCTTATTGCCAGCATTTAGGAAATACCTAATACTCTCTTTAAGAGTATCCATCCTCTTCGCTTGTACTATTGTGGTATATACCTCATGCATTTCTTCAAATATCACATCTCTTGGGAATGGATCCAGCATCTCAATGGCTGGTGATAAGTGCTTACTGTTCTCAACAACAAGAAACCTGAGTAGTGCTCTACTCTCTGCACCCAAATCACAACTCAACTTCGCAAGTGGCACAAGAATACCCACAATCACCAGAAGGAATGTCTTTACAACAGAGGAACAAGCTGGGAAGCATTTACTGCAAAACATCCTGTAGAAGTGGCATGATGCAACAGCCAAAGAAAATTCCTTCCTTTGGTAACTATGTTTTATTAAATGAATAAGAGTATGTGAAACATCTCTGATAACAAATGTGGCCATGTCACTAAGCCCATCTCCTTTGACACCTAGTTCATTTACCAAGATATCAGCAAATGTAGCATAATGATGGAGAGACTTTAGTTTATCTTCAAGCGTTGGTACTTGATGAATATCAACTGCAAGGCACAAAAGTATCTTCTGTATGCAGTCTGAACTTTCTTTAGCCAAGTATGCAACAAGAGAGAGCTCTGGTTTTGGAGAATTCTCCTGCCAAAGACAGAAAACAACATGGAAATAAAATTAGAGGTTTCTGACAAAGGTCTGTTACAACATGTAAAACTGTTCTTTTGGACTTTGTCCATCATCTAAATTATAAAATCACAACATTTAAGACAATGCATTATGCTTTCATCATATGACAAACACAGAAGAGGAAAGAAAACCTACCTGTTGGGCCTCCTGGTCAAGCTAACCTCAGACCTGGACCTGGTCCAGGGACAAAGCGTTCATCATAAAAAACTTGCACGTTACAAAACAAAACAGAACATAATGTAATCTGTACTCTTCACCGAATATTATCAGGTTAAATGAAAGATCATGGGATGGTCGAGGCAAAATGGGAAATGAATGGTTGAAAAACCTCAATGGGATACCATTTTAGAGTCATAAAATATGAGAAATATATACAACAGACTTTACAAAAATAAGTATGATAGAGCATAGTGGATTTAAGTAGTTCAGGATACTGTCCAATGGTACACTTTACACTTTCATGTTTCAGAAAGCAAGGAATGTCTACCATCAACAGTTCATTGAAGGCCCTGAATCACTGGGACTGGCTAGTTACATAAAAATATGAACAATGAAAAACCTTGACTTACCTGTAGATACAGAAGACTTTTTGTAATTATGGAAATACTGAAGTATGGTAAATCAGGATCAAACAAGATCTCTTTGCTAACTCCACAAAGTTTACCAAAGTGTTCTGGATCAAACAGAAGTCTCATTAAATGGACAATAACCCTATCCAGTTGATGGTTCAAGTGGTAAGTTATTCTGTCCTCAGGAAGAATTTGTTGTAACTTTGTATACAGACGTTTTGCAATTCGCACATCCATGTCTTTCAGACCATCAGAAAAGTCAGCAGCAAAACATGGCACACAGCAAGCAATAATACGGGGGCAGCATAGCTCCGCTAACTTTGCCATTGTCTTGCCAACTTTACGAGATACAATCTCCAAACATTCATCATCTTCCCTTTGCAGTAAAATAGGAACAATCACCTCCTGGTACTTGGTGAAAAATTCAGTATCTGATATGCAATCAAACAGTACCCATGGAAAATCCTGTTAAGCAAAATTATAATAAATAGTAGTTGTAATGAAAATGTTCATGAAAATTTACATCTAATTACTTTCAAATTCAACACATTCCTGAAATGTACTGTAATTCAAATTTCAGTATTAACAGACTGAATTACTTCACTTTCATGCATGTTACAAAATGACATCAGAGTGACAAAGAAACAAGGGCTGCAGAAGTTTGTTGGCCTAAACTTGTTCACTAAAACCAATAGAACTTCTATGAAAACAGAAACAGCATAATCCAAATAGGCTATTGGGGCTCAGAAACAGAAATTTAGTATTTGTGGAAAACAATAGAGATATTTCAGCACCATCATTATAAACCTAGCAGCAGTAAAGGGAGTATTCGTGTTAAGAAACCAATTCTAATAACTTTTCTAATGATAAAGATACTGTAGCATAGAATCTTCTTGTAGGTTCTGCTGCTAGATTATGAATACTGAAGGCCAGACATCACTTTCTGTGTGCACTGAATTACTATTTGTTAGTCACTGCCTCAAAAACATCTATAACAGAAATATGGAAGATGAAATTACTCTTATTAGGTGCTGAAACTTCATTGAGAAACATGTTTAAGATATCATCATAACATAATTTATGCTATTATGTAATTCACTTACATTTATTTTCTAATGTAAAATAAATTTTTTTTAAAAAATACCATACATTGTATCCATTAAATTCTTACAAACAAAAGATTACAAGAAATAATTACCAAAATATGAGTTTTGAAACATAACAAGGCATAACAATGCTCACGCACTGACTGACTCTGTGAATGGCATAAGCAAATGGATGTAATTTGAAAATAATTATTTGGTGCTGTGATTAGCAACAAATGGTTAATTTGAAGTTGCTTATCATGGAGAGGAAACTAGTCTTCCTAAGTGATTAATCTAGTATCAAATAAAGATTTATAGAAGAAGTACAAGAATTCAATTTAAAAAATTAGAATATAGTATCTACTATGGTACCTGAAGTGCATACTGTTGTTGTCTCCAGTGTACTAAAATGTAATTTAGGTTGGTCTCCATTAACTTAGTGATATTAGGTAATTTCAAGCTCTTACCCACAAGCACAAGTACTTTGCGAACCAAGTCTGGAGAGAAAAAAAAACACATTATATTACATACATCAAATATGTAAAAATCAGAAGAAAATTAATACTCTCTCTCACATCTTGTAGCATGACATCACATTCAGCTACTGTCAGCAATATGAAAGAATTTACATATTAGCATAGGATAAATTCCTAGTAACTTATAACATAGCACAATGGTAATGTGATGAATGTCAAAATTATGTTTTTAATTACAGACCTACATATTAGTCACCCTTCCTCACCTATATTCAAGTTCTTCTCCTTCACAAGCTGCAATACAGAAAATAATGCCTTCTTACGCCAGAATGGACTAACGACAATAAGAGCAGCAAAGCAATGCAGTGCACTAGCAGTTCGGTTTACACTTTCATCAACCTTTTCCTCCATTGTTAAATCACCCTGTACAATGAATAAATAAAATATATAGAGTAACCAACTACAAACCATTAATACTAGACTGGGACATTCTGCTATATATACTATTACAAATTTCTAGATATGTACAGCTGACACAAGATATTCTTATTTATTTATTTAGTGACTTTTAATTGAAATGTATGCATTTATACATTCTGAATTAAAACTTATATTTTAAATTAACTGTAGTGGATTCATTATATTTCTGCATCATCTGTCTGTTACGTTACAAACCAGGTTACTTGTTTTTCATCATGTTTTTATTATATTAATCACAATAACACAATCAATTAATTGACAAACAAGCATTCTATTAAAAAATGTTACAGTTGTACTGTACCTCAACAATGAAGGATGATATAATTATAACACACAGTTTATCAAACATCCTCTTTTGCCATGCAAGACGATTTGCATTATGGCTTGCACCACTCTGGTGGCTGAAAAGAGTACCAATGTATTTCACTGCTGTCATCCTCATTTCATGGAATGGACTCTTGATATGAATTAACACTTCTTCTGCAATTGGTGTTACTTCACCTTCTACACCATTAACAACTGGTGTTCCAGACTCCCATGTGGCCCAAATAACATTGGGATCAACCTGCAATATTATCACAAGTTTTCAAAAACAGGAAACATTAAGTTAGTTCAGCACCAACTCTACAGGATGTAAACAAAAATCTAAACCTATTTTTTCACAAGTGTAATAAATAACTGATAGACCACTACACCATATTTACTGTGTATAACATGCAGTTTTCTTTTTCAAATCTCATTTGTAAGTTTTACTACCCCTCTACACAAATACAAGCATGAGGAAAATTGTCAAATCAGCATTTTGCATACCTTGTTCATGTCACAATTTGTTGCAATAAAACTCCCTAAACTGAAACATCAAACTACCAATCTTAATAAGTCTATTAAATTTTCTATAATGACAGTGTCAATCAAACATCATGGCCAAGTGGTTATCACTAATGCTTTGAATCTGGGAGGTCCTGAGTTAAAATCTGCGCTCAGAGACTTACTATCCTGACAGGTCCTTCATAGTTGTCCTCAGCCTATTATCTGATGCTATACAGTCTCAGCTACTTACTGGGAACGACCCGTCCTTCAAGTGCCTGAGCACTGCGGGTCCCAACTTTTGGTTGGCTTGATCTATGGACATTCAGTAGGACTCCTTGGACGAGGGATCGGCCCGTCGCAAGGCCTCTACCTGTACACAGGACAGCACAACACAGAAAAACACGGACAAACATACATGGCTTGAGTGGGATTCGAACCCACGGTCCCAGCGACCAAGCGGCACAAGGCCCGCGCCTCAGACCGCGAGGCCACTGCGGACCCCCAGCTACTTACATCATCATTAAATAAAACACAAATAAAAAAATAGATGACACTGTCAGGGACATACCACTGCTAGCTCACCCAGACACTTGATATAATGAATGCTGACTTCAGGGCCATACTTCTTTTTAAAATTAACATTCTTCTGGAAGGCCTTCAATAAGACCTTTGAATTTTCTCTTGATCCTGTGTCTTGTGCATGTCTGAACACACCTAAATTATAACACGGACAACAAATGAGAGGTTGAATATAGGGACAGTTAAAATTTGTAACACTATTCTCTACATAGAATGTCATACTCTGCACATCACTGGCACTAGGCCATTGTCTAAGTTTTTACATTAAATTAATGACAACATATTCTATAGACTGTAATGACTGGTGCATAAGCAATGTTTGCTATCCAACTTATTTCTGTGTGGCTTGGCCAGAGAGAAGTCCAGATATCAAAACCAAGAACCACTGATTAAACTGAAAATAATATTTTAAATATTCTTGTGACTTCTTGGTAAAAATCTGCTCAAAATGTAACTATACAATCATATAAAAGCATGAACACTGGAGCATTCACTGAACATTAACTATGTAACAAATCATTTTCATTAAATTATTTTTACAATAAATTAATTTCAAGTCTTTCACTTATAAGAACAAAGAAATTAAAAATAAGAAATGATTTTAAGCACTCAGTACATGAGCTTTCAAAGTGGTACATACCACAAAGAAGTTGCAGAATGATAAGAGCCGCTTCATAATCCAAATAATGTTTTCTACATAAGGCCTGAATAATCCTAAGAATTGAAGATACATGAACTTCTCTGAGTTCTGGACAGCTGAGAGCTCTTCTTGTCACAGCAACAGCCTATAAGGACAGGCAAAACATTACATAAACAAAACACAGAAACATTCATGCTCCAAGTCTCAAGCTGCAAGTATTAATCTCACTTTCATAATCACACTGACTTCTAGAAGACATCAAAAAAAGGGAAAGTGTTGGCAAGAAAAAAAAGAGAGGGGGGGGGGGGGGGGGGGGGAAGGAAAGAAGATCCATTGATACATATAAAATTTAAGCAATGCTAGAATAAGAAGCTGTGCACTCATGATAGTTCTGGTGAAAATTGTAATTTTCACATTTGCAGATCTAAACACTGACTCCTTCATAAAACACAGTATTTAAACTTCTACTGAATAAAGGACTGTAATAAACATATGAACACAGTTGTCAGAAAATGTTTGAGTGGGGAGATTTTTAAGATAGAAAATTAACATAGCTGCGCTACATTTTGGTTGAACAACCTGAAGGGAAGAACCAGCAATGGGAAGAGATTATTACAGCAGAAAATAGGGTGGGAAAATATTGACTATATTCACCTGGTTTCTGGTTCAGGATAGGGACCAGTGATGGGCTCTTGTAAAAACAGTAGTTAGTTATTTATATTTATAAGTCATGTGCCATGTGTGATTCATTTACCATTTGAAAATAACGAAGCGAACTAGCTGGTTGCTTGTCTTCCAGGAGGAACTGCAGCAGTCGAGTCAATTCTGCACTACATTGCTCACTTAACATTTTACCTGTAAGAGGAGACAGTGTGGATTTAGAATTTATAGTTCAAGATCTAGAACTGCGCCTTCACCTGAACAGTAGTTAGCTGCTCAAGAAATTATATGCTGTTATAGAATGAGAGATGAGCAAGAGAGTGTATACAACTTACTGCATCTAATACTTTGCTACAGAAATTAATTAATTAATATATAATATTTATACTGTGTGTGTGTGACAACTTATACCAATGTTGCAGTAGTTGACAGATGTCTGGCAGAAGAATCTTCAAAAAAATCCACAAGTGTATGGTTGCCTATAACTTGGGAATGTAAACATACCATGTGATACAGAATGCTATGTACATACTCGGCATCACACCATCAGAGCATGATAGGATTGTGAATGTATGGGAATTAATGTCATATATGAAAATTTAGGACTCAGTATAAGGCACAAGACATACAATCTCTTCTGCTCGTGTATGCCATAACTACAACCAGATGATTCTGGTCACACATTGAAGTAAGTACTTGATACTGAGATCCTGACACTGCATATAGAAATATAAAAAGATGCAGAAAGACAGACTTTGACATGTTGATTCATGATAGCATGGTTAATAATTACACTTTTGGTTAATCAGGTAGTATGCATGCTACTGCACAAATCAAAAGCAGTTATCTGCAAATTCGCAAAGTCTGAAACAGAAAGATAAATGTCCAAACTGAGATCAAGATTTTACCTCAATGCTATCTCAAAAAATTGACTTATACATGCCTAGTTAGTATCTAGGTGTAATGAAGACAACTTACCTGTGTAACAGCAGCTATAGGAGCACAATACACCTACAGCTTCAGTCTGCACTTTTTCTTTTTCTGTTAAATGTCTCACATCCAGGAGGGAGGATGAAGCTGAGATCACAAAAAAAAAACATACTCATTCAAAATGACTGCATCAAACTTGTAATTCTCTTGTGATACATTATTCTGATTTGTTATCAAGGTTAGCCACAGCACCAAATTTTATGAATCACACATGGTTTTTGAGATTAGTTAGTTGCTAATATGTGCCTCTTGTATTTTGTCCATTTTCATCTTGTACAACACATATCACCTGCTACAATATTAATCCATATCCTGCAATCATATGGTATCTAAACCATCTGACAAAATACTACTGAAATTAAAAAGAGTTTAAATCTCAGCACAAGATTCAACAAAGAAAAAAATGGATAATCTATGAAATATCACAACTTAATTCAAAAATACAAACCGAAATAGAATTTAATCAGTAAACCTTAGTAATGACTACCAATATTAACTTCCATAAAATATGTTACGGCAGAATGAAGAACAATAGTTCCTTTCTTCAAACTTTAGACTCAAATTAAATACAAAGTTTGCACATACTTACATAATAAATACATTTTATTAGACACAAATTACTATGCATTATCATTTCTGCATAAAGTAAAATATAACTACCATATTTTATAGATGATGATGATGTGTATGCATCCAATTATAGAGGAAACATTTTTTAAAAAATGGCTACTATACCTTCACAATACACAATTTTAGGGAGCATTTATCAAGGAGAAAGCATGTTATATAAACTGGAATATACAGCACAGTACTAACAATCTTTGGCTTATACATTAGCTACTTGGTACTGACTGTCTGAAGACATTCTGAATTCTGACAAATGCTTCAGTCCATTCAGAAGTACACTACTTTACCAGCATAAAGTATGGTAGAAAAACAGAGCTCAGACAAATGCAGGCACACATTATCATACAGTACATGTATCAGCAGCAGAACACACAAACCAACATGATTCAATGCTTTAAGAAGTAAATATTTTAATACCTGAGGTCACAAACTGATATCTCACCCACTTAATACTATCAAAGCTTTTATTTAGGTTCTTACACAGAAATTTTATATTTTCGTACCTTCTTCAATGATGCTGGAGCCCGAAGAGTCCATAAATACATCATAACAATCTTCTTTCATAGTAAACTGTAATTTGTTTAGCTCTACAACAGAAAAAGTGAAAGCTTCCATCAGTACAGAGATAACAGCAGTTCCTGCTCGTACAAATAATTACATTCCTGGAGAGAGTTTGTAAAGTTAAATTTCATAAAGGAAGTCAATATTCCCCATAAGCACAATGACATAATTCAGGGTTACATTCCAGGATAACCTATATGTGACCAAAATAAATTATAAATCAACCAATTTACTGCCTGAAACAAAAAATATAAAGAACGGAAACATTAGATTATTAAGTATGCTTTAAAAATACAGCACCAACACATAAGAAGGAGTTCAATTCTTAAAAATCACTTCAAACAACAAATACAAAATTACTCTTAATTATTTAATTTAAAATAATAGTGAATACATTACAGTTAGTTAAGTGTGATCATCAAAATAAAAGAAAGTTCAATTTCTAAAATTATTCTCTTCTTTCTATTCTTCTGAAGAAATAAGAAAATGTTCAAACAGTAATAAGATGGCTCTGAGCTGGGATGTTACAATGTGTGGTCTGGTAGATACTGAGCTATGTTGAAGAGGAATTTACTGCCTCCACCTTAAGGGTCAGTATCTACAAGTCTGCATGGTACAACACCCTAGATGGCACACATCTTCATACCTGTTGCCATGTGAACCTCAAATATTTCCAAACAGTAATTTAAAAATTTACTGAATGGTCTTCATGATGCCAAGATGTTGATTTTAAAGTTATTTGAGTGAGTGCTGGTCAGGTACTGAAACGCAAACTCCATTCTAGAAATAAAGAAGAGATCAATATACTGTACATGAAAGTTAAGTAAGTCCCTGTGACATTTGTAGCCTAGGAAGTCATGTGCTGTACTACTAGCAGACTAAAAAATGTTGTGTTTGTTTTAATTTAATGTAAGCTTTATTGCAAATAGTTTATAACACTGGAAATTATAAAACAGTCAGTAATGACAAAACAAATAAATGAATGATATTACGGACAGCAGAGAAGCGACAAACAACAAAATGTGAGAAATATCTTTGTACTTAAGACCAATGTTCTCCACTCAGGAACAGGGGAGGTTATAAATTCATATAATATCACTTGACTACAAGGCCGCATACATCACAAGTATTCACTTAACTCTCACACACAGTGATGAAAATATTCTACTTTACCCATGCTGATTTCTTCTTGTGAATGCATCACTGTAGTTACTTTGTACACAGCATCCAGTAACTCTTTAGGTGTCAGCTCTTGTACAAGTCTCAATACATCTTCATGAAGCTCAACCTCAAACAGCTGTCGCACCTTGTGCAATACACACAAGACAACTGATAAGTTTGTCTCCCGTCCAGTTGTCACAAGAAACCCCTTTGCAAGTGAAGCCAACTGAGCCATCATTTTCTGAACTGCACCAGTAAGACTGTAGGATTGAATAAAACATCAGCTATGCCAAATATGTATGATTTGAGGTTTACACAGTGGTGAGTATTAAGATTTCTGTCTTCTGGGTTGTTGCGCCGTGTAGTATGATAGATGTTTACCAATGTTTCAGAGGTCATACTGACTCTGTCATCAGGGCGATGAATGTGCCAATTGAGTGGAGAGGGCTAGGTTTATAGGGACCAGACAATGAATAGAGTAGTTTGTCCCTAGCCAATGCTCCCATTGTATCATGCTCGTAAGGTTCTTTTACATGCTGTAAATCTATGTCATGGGACCGCCAGCTTTACTTCCCCTCCGAACGAAGTTGTGCTACGGATATTTATCACCCTTAAAAATCCATCAACCTCAGCCGGGATTGAACCCGCAAACCTTGGGTTCAGTGGTAGGCATGCTAACCACTAGTCCACCCAGTGCTACAGACAAACATATCACTAATATGTAAAATAGCTTTTATTGATGGAACATTTTGTACTGAAACAGATAACCTTTACGAATACATTTTTATATAAAAAATGCATTTAAATTGCAAATGGAGGAGAAGGCCTCTAGTAGAGACTGAACAAGCAGACGTAGACAGTAGACAAGAAGTGGGTCGCTCTGATGATAAACGCAGGAAGCACCTATGAAATGTTGGTTAACTTTACAGGACTACGCAGCACAATATCCCAGGAGGCTGTCATCTTCATGGTCCAGCATAATGCCAATCAAATCAAATTTTGATTAAAATATGGTTTCCTAAGTGAAATATTGTAATCCCATATCAATTAAGTGGTCTTCAAGACCACATTAATTCATGTCACATAAGTAATCAGAACTTTACACAAAATTACTGAAAAAATAAAACATTACGCTTACCTAACCGTAGGAAGATCACATGATGTAATTACATTCCACTTCAGCATCCATGACAGTGTACTTAAAACAAGTAAACACTGAGAAACATAATCTGTAAGTAATTTCAGCTTTGTGGTATAATCTCGGGGTACTACGACCCTTTCTGTGATCAAAGAACAATCTCTTTTCATTAGTTCTTCTAGCTTATCTCTTGCTGATACAATGGTTAGTTTCGCACTAGTATTGTTTTTCTCATTCACGCAAGATGAAACTTTACTGCAGTTTTTAAAAAGGAGACCCATCTCAAAAGAAGTTATCATATAGTCATCTTCAATAGAATTTGTGATAAACTCTTCATTACGTGTGTTATCACTCATGCAACTGTCATCAACTTCACATTGTGATTTAACAACAAGTTCAACAAGTAACCTTGACATGAATGAAGGTGTAAATGGCACCAAGTTCAATTCAGTAAGTCCTAAATCTCCTTTGTTTGGTAACAGCCAATCTAATAAGGCACATCTCAAAGATTCAGGCTGCTGGCTAGCAGTCTGATAAGGTGCTTTTAAGCGAACGCTGTGAAATCCTTCCAGAGTTTCTGGGAGATCACAACACTTTAAAATCACCTGGAGTGTTTGGAGGCTATGTTCTGAGAGTTGGATCGTTCCATTCAAAAACATGTAAATAATATTTGAAGGTAGATGAGTTTTCTGATGTAGTATCATTGCTTGTAGCAACTTATGGCTGCTCTTCTCACTCTGGTTTAGACCCACAGTTCTGCAAATCAGAACGCACGTAATTATTTTCCTAGCCTTCTTTTTCAACTCCTTACATTTGTAAGCTATCTGTATTTGTCTGTCAACAATAACTTTTGAACCAGGCTTATCTTCACAAAAATCACACAAATGATACCTACTACAACACTGTATTTTTCAAACCATACTACAAAAGAATCAATATGGTGGGCTGCGAATTTCTTTGTGCAGGAACAACATGAGACGAACTCAATGCACAGTTCAGAAATTTTGTCTGATAATACTTATTTGGACAATATGTCGATTCTGTTAAAAAATATTTGTAATAGCATTATTTTCACACAAATTAATATTTTTGGTTTGGCAGTAACTCATAAACCAATGTATCTGTTTATATAAAATTTGATGAAATGTGTACTAAACAAACTTTAAACCAACAGATTATTGAAATTACAGTGAAAGACATACCACACAATGCAAAAATCAAAATCATACCATAGCTTAATACATTCAAGTGCCATATATAGCTTTTCACCTGCAGTCACTCACCTCAATGTTGTTTCCCAAATTTTTAACCACAACAAACTGATTTCCTTTGCATTCAAGTGAACTTGTTTCAAACCCTGCTCCACTTTCAGCAATGACTCACAACATCTGAAACATCATAAATTATAAATTGTACATCACAGCGGCTTGTTGAGAAACACAATGAGTACTATAGGGAGCACTAAGATCAGGCTACGGAAGTACTGATATAAAATTCATCAGTTGTAAGAAAATAATCTAGTCTAGAAAAACCTTTGTTACTTTTAAGCCGCGCTAATTATGCTCATTTTTAACAGTTATCATGCACACTACATCTCCACTAAATTTCTATTTGGCAGCTCATTAATATTTGAATATTTACTGAATAACCTGCAGCCTAAAAGTCTGATAGCCTGCTTTTATTTGACTCTTCACTATAAATAAAGGAAATTCATACTGGTGTATGTAAAGTTATATAATGGTGTTGACATCACAGAGGTATGTGCAGGATTTGGTATTAATTTCTCTTGTTGCTTATGGCTGTGAGAATACTGTACTGAATTTTATTTTATTTCAGTTTTATCTTCAAAAATAAAACTGGAAATATTACTTTGGTACAGACAAAATATATAAAAATAATACCACACAAATGCCTTTTTGTTTACTAATATCTAAATAACTACATTTCCCTATACTGATAAAAGTAACAAGAATGTTTTATATAAAATATAACACACTTACTGACATAAGTATCCCATTACTATGGAATCTTTGCAGGTGCTCTGTAGTTCTGTCACTTGACGTAGCAGTGCTACAAACTCCTGTTCCTTCAAGACATTTGGGTACTTGGACAAAAGCGAGCTCATTAATGACAGCCTGTTACATGCAATATTCAGTATTAGTATATCAGACACAAGCTAAAAAACTGAGAAACTGAAATGGCAGATTTTTGGTATGGCAATATTATTTTAAGGTAAATTAACTAAAACAATGACAATGCTTATAATACTCCATGGTCCAGATATGTGTTTCTTAGATTGTTCCAATAAAATAGTTCCTTTACTTTCAGAAGGGAAATTACATATACAACACAAGTGGATCAGAAGTGAGTATCTGGAAGAAAAGAAAGGAACACGTAAAAATAAATTTTAGGAACATAAATACCATTTTAGATGGGGGTGTATGATCTGAAGCTCAAGAAGAATTCATTATTTTTAGATGGGGAATTTGCATATTATGATTTCCTTAACGAGCTTGTGGAATGATAAAATTTGGGAACCACCGATTTAAGACAAAGTATAACTTTAAACAGACTATAAATTAAATTCTCAAATTTAGCATACATCAACGTTGACAGACATGCAACATGTACAACTGAATAAAAATTGGATGTTTCAAAAATATTTTCATCTGTAGATCCTTTCTAGTATTATATACAAATTTTATATCAAATAAAATAAAAAGGCATAACAATGACAGTAGCATACATAAGTTCCCTGAATATGTGGAATAATTGTAGAGACTATAGATTCACATGGTAAACCAATATGCCAATTAACTTGTTTTGTGACAATGGTTCAAATTTCACACACCACATGGCAGTAAGGTACTAAGTGTGTGCACTATATATTTTAAATCTGAGTATTCATGAAGTGACTGTGCCACAAACACATCAGAGAAGGTTCACTGAATCATGGCTTCAATACAAAATAATAAGTAATATCACTGTTCTCAAACACTCTCTGTCTGTTTTTTAATATACATCATGAGGCAAAATATAAAAAGTGCTTACCAAGGCCAAATGTCTTGTGTTCCTGGTGCACTCAGAACTTCTATGATGGTCTGGATTCCTGCTACAACTCGTCTCCTTTTTGGCATATTATAGGACATACTCTCATTCAGCACATGTGAATTTGTCACATCCAGGACACTGCTGTTACCTTCAAATACCTGTACATAGGACCACACACTGGCCAGCCACTTACATACCCAGATCAGGCAATGATTTTTCTATTCATCAACAAGAAAGCCTATGGTATTCATTTAATACATCTCAGAGATAGTCTGCAGAAAACTTTGCCTCCTACTCTTAATACAGCTGAAGAAAATAAATGCAATAACCAGTAACAACATTCATCCAATCAAGCAAATAATAACTCATTAAAATAATAACATCTAATATAATACATAAGGAATTTGAATGTTGAAAAGAACAGCACCAACAACAAGTTAAAGAAGAACATGACTGAAAAATACTTCATTACTTTTAATAAAAATATTATAATAAAAGGAGACTGCAAACAACTAAATATATTTCACCATTTAGCTTTCAATTACTTCATTCAAAAATATCAAAATTTTGGCAAGTAGTATAAATAAAGAGACCAATTAAAATAAAAGAACATAATGTAATGATTGAACCCATTTAAAAATACATGCATGATTTACGTACAAACTAACTACACTTAGCAAGTGCTATAACAAGTGTAGAAAACTGAAGACAATACTTGTGTGTCAGAACACGTATCTGCAATATAAAATAACATATAGAGTCAGTGGGATGGTCTATCACTACTCACAAATGCACGCTTCAAAAGACCAAGAATCCTCCTAAGTGGGGAGGTCATGGCCCAAAGCACCATAGATAATCATTATATAAATAGTTACATTGATGGAAATCAATTCTATTTACTGAATGAAGTCATGAACTTGACCACTCACTTTTAGAAAGTGCCAACACATAAAACGCATGGAGCTTTGATTCCATGCACCACATATGCCTTCACTTGTTATTTATTTATGGCTTACTTACGATGCTGTCAGTAGGTCAAATCAAAGAATAATTAATGAATCAGAAAGGAAGTGGTTGTGCTTAAGCATGGGGACTTTACTTTTATCTTATCAAATTCCAAAATGTGTCACACTTCTTTGAAACCAACAGAAAATTAATGTGTACTGGTATTATTTATATATCTAAATACTACAGTATTCCTGCAAATCATCAGTTGCAGAAAAGGTGAGATTTCAGGCTCTCACAATGGCAAGTATGAGGATGACTGTCTCCAGGATACTAAAACATGTAATCTGGTAGATACTTACTGCTTCAGAGCATTTCATAAATATCAGTCAATATCTAACAGACCGCATGGTCAACATAACAGAAGACAGAAACCTTTAATTGCAGACATATTTAGAAACTATGATGACCTTTCATTATGCCTATAGGTAATACCTGCTTGCAGACTTCAACAGCCAACTGCAAGAAGTTTTCTCTGAGCACTTGTATTTTGCACTTGCTGCGCTGAACATTGTTTATCTCTGTATCTACCAAGCGGTATATAGAATTCAGATGGCTTTGCCATTTCTCCCAGCTGTAGGCATAAGCTGCTCCCTCACCCTGCCTCGTGCCATATGGGTGATGAAGATGCATTTGAAGCAAGAGGAAGTCAAACAACAAACCCTACAGAATATTGAAAAGTTACAATTCATGTTTTTCCAGGCTTGATAACCAAGTATTATGAATTACAGTTCATTACACTACAAATTGAGAGAAAATTCACACTGAAAATCTCATCACCCAAGAGCTAAATGCAGAGTATAGAGACAAATTTCTCGGTTTCTACTATTTCTACTGCAATTAATTCCTTTTTGAACATTTACTCATTATCAGTAACAAAAACAACCGTTCACTAACACAGAATCAACTGCCATGTAATTAACAGTATGTTGACAAAGAAATCATATTTCCCTCCATATGGGATTTACCTTCTTATCATAGCGATCTTCTAGTCGGTTCTCATACAAATTAATGACGTATTTTGTTATATCTTCACCAAACTTGCATGTTACCATTCTACACTCCTTGGCTAACTGTAAACAAAATCATAATAATTTATCTTTTCAATATTAAAGTAATTCAATTCATTATACCAGTATTATGCTGGACATTGTTCACTATCTCATGTGTGATATACATGGTATTCATCACATTACAGATGTTGGCTCTACTTCTGTCAGAAGTACAGATAACTTCCAAACACTACATAAGTTAACTAAATGTCAGACAATGGACAATTGCTAATATAATACTAGCATGGATGCAGGATATGAATAAGCAGTCTTGAACAGCAGATAATTAGTGATCCTAGAGCTTGGTAGTGAACTAATAGCTCATATAAAGAAAAATAACATGTTATGAAATGTTACAGAAGTGTTTTACATGGGTTTAAAATTTCATGTCACATTAAGGAAGAAAAAGTAGACTGTATTTGAGAATATGGTGCTGAGAAAAGTATCTGGACCAAAGGAGCAATTAAGTGAGGAGCTTCATAATTCATACTCCACCAATTTGAACAAGATGATCATATCACAGAAGCGACATGATGGGAATTGCATGCATGACAGAAATGACAAATGCATATAAAATTACTGTTGGAAAATAGGAACAGAAGAGACCATTTTGAAGACCTAGGCATACATGGGAGGACAATATTAAAATGGGTCTTAAAGATACAGGATGTAAAATACGTAAGTCATTCACTCTTGAAATGTTTTGTGTAGGAACAGCAGGAGCAGTGCCCTGATAACTATAACAATTTAATTTATGTTGCTTTACCTGCTTGGAAACTGTTATTGCAAGTTTAAGCAGAGATGCTTGTAATGCTGGCAATTTGTCAAGGTTTTAATCCTTAAAAGCTCTAGCAAGAGGAGGAAACCTGTAAAATTATAAATTCTTGTTAGGTCTTCATAATTATAAAGAATTATAAATTTACAAAATATATAATTTATTCATTAACAAAGTCTCTCAATTTAAAACTGAAAACTTTTCACAGATCAAACTGGTACCGCTTTCACATGTTCCAGGAAACCATTTCTGCTCACGATGATTTTAATTTTAAAAAAAGATCAAACATGTCCGAACGGATTAATGCAAACATGATAATGCCAGACTGCAGGAAAAGTCTCCATAAATACATATAATGTTACGCATTTACTCACACATCCTTTTTATAGTATAATTTGTATACTTACAGTCCAGTGCAAAAATAAGATAAAATACCACTTTAACTGTTCAAAAAGTGTCACTTAATAAGGGTACAAATGCAATAAAAAAAAACTGACAGGTTGATATAATTGAATTACCTCAAATACCAGCAAACGTTTATCATTCTTTTCAGCCACATATACTGTATACACATAAATTTTAACATAAAAGAGGCCGAAGTATCAAAACTATTTAACAGATATGTTTATCAAAGTATCAACATCAAGTAAGATCTGTCACATAAACGGACATACTTCTTTCTGAGCTGGAGTCCCAAATGTGACTGAAGGGTACCACACTTAACAATCCAGTATAATATTTCTGCCACTGGAGCCTTATCCAAACCAGTGGGTGGTTCCTCATACAACATAAAACACACATCCAATAGCTCTGCAAATGTTAAGATACAATTGAATTAAAGTACAAGTTTTTGTACGCACACAACAGACTATAACCATATGCAGAATTAAAACCAAAATGCATCTTGAAAATACAAATGGTATCCATGTAACATGCAATTTAAAATTTTTTCATTATTTTCTGATGCAGTTGCAAACAACAAAGCAGATTATCCATGATGGATCTACTACATACAGAAACAGTTGAACCAATTCCATTAGCAATTATATCACATTATTTTTTAGACAGAAACAAACCCTGAAGATGTAGTACAACTTTAACTACCTCACACTGAATTCACTTGATCATTCCATAAATGAGTTTCTTTACCTCAGACCCACTAACCTGTGAGCTACTAAAGAAAGTCATTAAATAAACTATAAATAAAACATGTTCTTTGCGTATACATTTACAATTCTGGCATAAGTTGTGTTCATTACTGAATGTTATGTTTTAGCAAACAATACAGTTGCCATTTCAAGGTCAATATCTCTAGGGATAACAGAAGTTAGAAAGCTCTTATAAAG